GCATTTAAATCGTGTTATCTTGACTGAATGTGTAATGTGTCAGAATTCTGCATGTGTAGTCTATTCTGGAATGTTGATGGGGTCTTGCCTTAGACATTTTTTAAACAGCAGTGTCAAAGCCACTGTCCCCATTTTCTAACCCAGGGCATGCCAGGATGCATGGCAGAGTGTGTGTGTGATTTATATGCCTCTACCCATTTTTTTTTGGTACCAGGGATTGAACTCATGACCTAGCACTTGCCACTAAGGCACTTATGCCACTGAGCTAAATCCCCAGCCCCAGCCTCTTCCCTTTCTTGCTGTGCATAGGAATCCCCTCTTACAAATTATACTGTAGCCTAATGAGTTTTCTGGATTAAACTCCTTTCTCTCAACATGTTATTAAGAACTGATATGCAAATGGCCATTTTCACAATGTTTGTTCTTCCCATCCATGAACAAGGGATGTCTTTCCATTTTTTGAGGTCCTCTTTGATTTCTTTTTCAGGGTATTGTAGTTTCCCCCAATAGATCTTTTACTTCTTTTGTTACATTGATTCTTAAGTATTTCATTTTCTTGGATGCTTAACTATTTCAAAGAAACTCTTTATGGCATTATGGTAGCTATGGTTGATATCCAGTTGTCTTGTGAAGTGCTGTGTTGCTTGCATTGTTCTGTTCTGATTTGCTTTGTTTTGTTCTCTTTTATTCTCTTTAAAATTAAAAATTAAAAAAAAGAAGAACTGATGTATGTGAAGAGGCCAGATCATTGGCTTCCTTTTGAGGCCTCATCATGTTTGCCCTGGAGAATTTTCAAACTCAGACCCGCTCTGTGAGCACACATCTGCCATTCTCCCCTCACGAAACTCCGAGCTTCATGGACGAGCCACACTGAGGTGCTGCCATCAGGCTTATGTGTTAGAGACAGAGATCCTCTCTTTGTTCGCCTTCTCCTTCAGGACACAATTAGCTGTGCCTTACCTCTCCCTCAGGACTTCACACCCTTTCTGGAGATAAAGTAGACTTGAGCTTGCCCCTGAAAGGAGCAGCCTTTCTCTTGGCCTAGTCATGGATGGATGTCCCTTCCCATCCAGGGAAGAGGAGTTCTCTGGAGATTCAGTGCCTAGAGAGAGGAGGGCACAGCTGAAATTCAGAGCCAATAAGGCAGAGCCAGTGAGGCACAGCAGCAACTGAGTGCTCAGAGGATGTGGCCGGACATACTGGGGTCACTAGACCCTGGAGTCGTGGGACACTGGCAATGTCCCCTAGACAGCCAGGACCCAGGAATAGTGGTATACAGCCATGCATAGGTCCAGAATGGGAGAGGATCAAGGCATGATGACTCCGCTGCCCAGCAAGGCAGGGGCAGGTGCTTCAGTGCCCAGGTGTCGGGGGTATCAGTCATCAGGTGTTCGGACCAGACGGTGGTCTCCCAGCTCACCCAGTGCTCTCCTTCCTAGGAGGAGTGGCTGCTTGGCCTGGCCAGACTCCAGTTCTCTGCAAAGTGGGGTGAGCTCGAGTGCCAGGGGAGCCTTACTGCTGGGGTAGGGGGTGTCAAGGCGGGGGGTGCCTGGGCAGCAGGACACTGCTTCAGTCTTGGTACTGGGGAACATGGCTACTCTGGGAGGCAGGGACCCAGTCAGTCCAGATCCTGGGGAGCAGGGCACAGCAGAGTGGTGGGGGTGGGTGGAGCAGCTGTGTGACAGCTCTGCCCTATGGGATAGGCCAGAGCAACAGCTGGGCTTGGGGATGGCAGCCATGAAGCAGGCATTGGTACAGCAATGGCAAAGCCTTGTGGGTAGAAGTGTGCGTTGGTCTCTGGGGCAGAACACGCTCCATCTGCTTCTCCTTAATGTACTCTGGCACTCTCCTTTAGTTATTTTCATCAAAATGTAGTTGTTTATTTGTGATTTGTGCTGCTTTGGGGGTAGGACAAGCACTAGGGGCTCCTTGTCAGCCATCGTGCTTATGCCATTTATCATTGACTTTTGTCGAATGACAGTGTGATGACTTGTCCACATGTGTTCCTCTTGCTGGATAACGGGCTCTTTAAGGACAGTCTAATCTTTCTTACCTGGGTTGGTGCTCAATAAATGCTTCTAGAATGAAGACCGTATATACTAATGAGCTAATTAAGCAAATGAGCAGGGGCAGCCTAACGGCCCTTTGGAAGGACAGATGGCTTCTGCATGTGGCAGGAAGTGATTTGAACAGTCACCAGTGGAAGTGTCCTGGTGCTCCAGTAACGTCAAAAGCCAAGCATTTGCTCCTCCTTGCCTATTTCCACAGAACTGACTTTTGCTATTCTTCCATTAAACATCTGAGCTAAAAAATGTGCATTACAGGCAACTATTGAATAGAGATTAATGAGAGTTAAGGAACTTTGATTTGTAGCTGATGATTCAGTGTCTAGAATGGAACCACACTAGAATAATCTAGAGCAAAGGCCAGGAAACTTTGTTTTGTAAAAGACCAAGTGCTTTTGGTCCCACAGACTTTATTATAATCACCCAATTCTTGTAGCACAGAGGTATCCACATACAGTATGTAAATAATGAGATATAAAGTATGTAAAAAATGAGAGGTGGCTGTGTTTAAATAAAACTTTATTTACAAAAGCAAGCAGTGGGCCAGATTTGATCTGCGTGGCCTTAGTTTGTCAGCCCCTAGTATAGAGTGCTGCGTATAGAGAGCCCCTAGTATAGCAACAGCAGTTGTTCATATGATTATAGCATGAGTGGGCATCATGTGGTCTGTGCAGTGCGAGCTGGTTGATATAACATTATATCCTTTTGCTCGATGTTGAAAGCTTTTCCTGAGGACTGACAGGGTCAGGGAGGAATAGAGGAGCCTGCCACCAGCCAGGTATAGCTGACTATTGAGACTTACCATGATATAGATATAGAGTTGATTGTCATTGTTTGCAGATTCTGTACTTGCAAACTCACCTACTTGCTAAAAACATCTTTGTAATCCCCCAAATCAGTGCCCATGGCACTTTTTTAGTCACTTAAAGACATGCACAGAGATGTGAAAACTTTGAGCCACAGGCACATGTGCTCCCAGCTAAGGTAAAACAAAGTGACACTCTGCCTTCTTAGCTCTTGGACCTTAAACAAGCATGTTTTCTAATCCCATATTCTTTTTTTCATTTTCATGCTTTTTGTTGGTGACTTTATTGTTTAAAATGATCCTTTTGCATAGTACACAGTGGTGTCTAATATAATGAAGCAGAAGAAAGCTGTGATGTGCCTTTTGGAGAAAACACAGGTATTGTGATGTCTAAAAGTCAAAGAAATTTATGGTCACATTACTAAGGCTTAGGAAATTATTAAGCTCCTCTTGGCTAGTGGTTTATTATAAAGAAATACTGCATATATTTTGTAATTTACAAAAAGCAGTTACTGAATAATGTGACTTTCCAGAGATAATGCACATAAAACAAGATTATTTACTGACCAGTTGACAAAATTGTCTTGACCAGATTTTCACTGGACCCTAAATAGTATAATTCCCCTAAGAGCCATGGCTCAGTATTCACTAACCTGGGGTCCACAGGAATTGCATACAATGCAAGTTCTGTGAATAATAAAACTCGACTGTGTCTGATCACAGCCTAAGCCAAACACATCATCCCTGCACTGAAGACAAGGCCCACGCCTCAGGCAGCACAGAGCTCTGCTGAGTGTCCACATGAGCAGGGCTTGACCTCCTCATCTAGCAGTGGTGTCCGTGACATCCCCACTCCCTCAGTCTTGACGGGAATTAAATGCATGCAGCGGGGCCCCACTCTCCTTCCAGAGCACGCCACCATTTTCCTTGGTGATTATTTTGCTGAAAGGGAGCCCTGGTATATTTATAAATTGCCCTGGAACTGAGCCATTGTCGAGCCCAGCATCCCTGAATGGACACGTTAATTGGTCCCAGATGGAAAGAAAACCACACAAATGCACCAGTCTCTCCACCCTGAAGCCAGACGCAGGTCATGTGGGAAAGGCCCGTTCTCTACTGTGTCTCCCAGAAAATCCACTGAGCTGGTCAGTCCTTTGCCAAGGGGTTCTTCAGGGCAAAACGACATGAGGACCAACTCCTCTCATCTAGAGTTACATGGCAAAGCGATGGGAGCACAGGGCAGAGGAGGCCCGCAGGCTGCTTCTGCCTTCGAGATCGGAGTGCGCTCCCAAGAGAAGATGACACCTGGCGGCAGCTGGGGGCCTAACCTCTAATGACACAGGGAGCGGAGGCCTGTCCAGAGCAAAGGAGGACAGCCAGTGGGACAGTGTGGAAGGGAAAAGCATTCCTCCAAGGAGTTCACAAAACACCCTCTGTAAACCCCTGGGCCTGATTGCCATCACTTGCAATGCTGGGCTCTGCAAAGTTGCCAGCAGAAGCCTTTCTTGAAAGTTCTGCTTTTTGTTCCTAAGTATTTGGGTCTATGTCTGTTCCTTCACTTGACAGGAATCTGAATGTCTTTTCCTTAGTGCCACTCAGTGCAAATGAGAGAGTTAAGGGACTATGACAGTAAAGCAGTTGCACCTCCTTGCATAAAAGTTTCACTTGGGTTGCACACACATAGAGCTTTGACACAGGTCACAGCTGGGAGACTGCTTCTCATTGCAGGGACTGCCTGCGTGCACAGACCTGCAGTGAAGGGCTGTGTGTGTGGACCACAGGCCGAATCACTGGCCACAACGCCATTTTCTCCTGCTCCCTTCTCCTTTCTACTCCCCGGCCTCATGATGTGCGACGTCAGATGCTCACACGGTCATGCAGGAGCACCCCATCATGGCCAGGGCACAAGGGCCAAAGGAGGTGTTTGCATTCCATCCTTGGAGCACTTGCTCAGCTGCCAACTACAAATAGCCCCATGCTGGAAAATGATGCTAATTAGTATGCCATTAAAAAAAAGTGAAAAACCCACCACCCACAACAAAATAGCCATGCACAGACTGGAATCCCACCCTGACAGCCAACATGAAGCATGGCCCTCTAATGAAGCCTTAATTCACTTTGTTTGGCAGAGAAAGCAAACTCACCATGCTGCTGCGGGAGTCTCTGGGGAACATGAACTGTCGCACCACCATGATCGCTCACATCTCTGCCGTGGCCGGGAACTACGCAGAAACCCTGTCCACCCTCCAGATCGCATCCAGGGTTTTAAGGATGAAGAAGAAGAAGACGAAGGTAAGGGGTTGGCAGGGGTGCAGCGGGAGCCCTGTCCCGGGACTAAGTCAGTAAGGGCTAAGTCAATCTCGCTGCTCCTTGAGCACAAGGGCGTGTGCAAGTGGCTGCCACCACATCCACCTTGGGGTAGGAAAATGTTCCAGCTGGTCTAAGTCCCTTCCTCATGGCTGCTTTGGACCCTGATCAGCCTCAGCCCTGACAGGAAGCACCAGGTGCATGTTACACAGTGCACATGGATTGCTACTTTGAGATGGGAGATGTTGGTGGGCTGGGACTCTCCACACCTTTTCCTTGGCCCTCCCAGGTCGCAGGTAGATGGAGAGAGCTCCCCTCAAAGGTTGACCATAAAGGGCTTAACACTCCTAGCTCACAACCCTGCTTTCCCCTGTGTGTCCCGGAGTCACATTCTGCCTTGCTAGGTTTGCCGTGTGAGTTCAGTGGCTTCCGAGGGACACTAAGTGTGCTGGATGTCACTCCACTTGTCTCCTCTGGCAGAAGCAAAGCCAGGCATTGGTAGCATGGTGAGAATGTTTGACAAAACCATGGTAGTTGTAGCCACTCAAATCCAGGTCTGACTGGTGATGGATGGGGCTTTTTTGTTCTTTTTCCTTTTCTTTTATATACTTTGTTTGTTTTATTTTGGTTTAGAACAGAGTTTTGCAGGCAGTGTACTGTGGCATAGGCACAGCCCTTTGGAGGTCAGGTGGGGCCTGCCCTGGTCACCCTCTTTCCTAAGCAAGCTCTGAGTCTCCACCGAGTAATGGTCCCTGTGCAGGGCGGCCAAGCAGGGTGACCTTCAGTGACTTGTGCCCTCACTGCATGGGAGGGCTGCCTTGGGAACACCACTATGGTAACTGTGCTCTCTCACAGTACACGTCCAGCTCCTCTGGCGGAGAAAGCTCCTGCGAAGAAGGCAGAATGCGCAGGCCCACTCAGCTGAGGCCCTTCCATACCAGGGCTGCAGTGGACCCCGACTTCCCCATCGCTCACCTATCCAGCGATCCCGACTACTCCTCCAGCAGCGAGCAGTCCTGTGACACGGTCATCTACATCGGGCCCAATGGCACAGCCCTCTCCGACAAGGAGCTCACCGACAATGAGGGCCCCCCAGACTTTGTCCCCATTGTGCCAGCCCTGCAGAAGACCAGGGGTGACAGCCGGCCTGCAGAGGCAGGTGAGGCTGCGGCCAGCAAATCAGAAAGGGACTGTTTGAAGTGCAACACGTTTGCTGAGCTGCAAGAGAGACTGGACTGCATTGATGGCAGCGAGGAGCCCAGTAAGTTCCCTTTTGAAGAGCTGCCCATCCAGTTTGCAGCAGAACAGGCAAGCAGAGGCCCCCTGATAAGCCACACAGCTGGGGCACACCTGCTCTCCGAGTCTGACAGGGAAGACAATGGTTCAGATGGCCAGCTGACTGACCCAAATGGCTCAGACCCCCCGGCCTCCAGAGGACAGCAGGATCGCTCCCCAGTGCCTGCCACAGTCCGCAGCAACAGCCCTGCCCCAGCCTCACCCCGGAGTATCCCAGGCAGCAGCAGCCAGCACAGCACTTCCCAGCTTGTGCAGAGCCCCAGCCTGCAGAGCAGCCATGAGAGCCTGAACTCCTGCGGCTTCGTGGAAGGCAAGCCCAGGCCCATGGGCTCCCCACGGCTTGGCATCGCTAGCTTGTCCAAGACTTCCGAGTACAAGCCCCCCAGCTCTCCTTCTCAGAGATGCAAAGTCTATACCCAGAAAGGGGTCCTGCCATCCTCTGCCCCACTGCCACCATTGAGCAAGGACTCTGGCATGGTGTCCAGTGAGTCCTTGCTGCAGCCTGAGGTTCGCACCCCACCAGTGGGAATGAGCCCCCAGGTTTTAAAGAAATCCATGTCTGTAGGGAGCGAGGGCTTTGCGGAAACCCCTGTGGAGGACGGGCAGCAGACATCTCCTCCTGCAGACTCCAAGAAAGAGATCCTGAGCACCACGATGGTGACTGTGCAGCAGCCGCTGGAGCTGAACGGTGAGGACGAGCTGGTGTTCACGCTGGTGGAGGAGCTGACCATCAGCGGGGTCCTGGACAACGGCCGCCCCACCAGCATCATCAGTTTCAACAGCGACTGCTCTGTGCAGGCCTTGGCCTCGGGCTCTCGGCCCGTCAGCATCATCAGCAGCATCAGCGAAGATCTGGAGTGCTACTCCAGCATGGCGCCCGTCTCGGAGGTGAGCATCACACAGTTCCTGCCTCTCCCGAAGCTAAGCTTGGAGGAGAAGGCCCGGGAGGCGGGCAGCAGACGCTCCTCCATCAGCTCCTGGCTGAGTGAGATGAGCACGGGTAGTGATGGCGAGCAGTCATGCCACAGTTTCATAGCCCAAACATGCTTCGGGCATGGGGAGGCCATGGCAGACCCTCCAGCCTCGGAGTTTGTCAGCAGCATCCAGAACACCACTGTGGTGTGCAGAGAGAAGCCCAAGGCGGGCCCCGATAACCTGCTCATCCTGTCCGACGTGGCGGATGACCCTTTCAACAAGGCCACTCCCATCAAAGGCTGCAAAATATCTACCCTGGGCAAGGCCATGGTCACAATCTCCAACACGGCCAATCTGAGCAGTTGTGAGGGGTACATCCCCATGAAGACCAACATCACGGTGTACCCCTGCATTGCCATGAGCCCCCGCAATGTCCAAGAGCCTGAGACGTCCACTGCCACCCCCAAGACCGCCCCCAAAGCCACACAGTCTCAGGAAAGCAAGGAAGCTGGTGCAAAGAAAGAGATGAAATTTGAGGACCCCTGGCTAAAGCGCGAAGAGGAAGTGAAAAATGAGACTGTGTATCCCAGTGAAGAAGGGGCTCCCGATGACACTGCCACGGGCCCCACAAAGCCTGAGGCCAGAGCAGAGGAGGAAGCAGAGAGGAACCCCAGCCCGGGGGACAGGCTCAGCAGCAGCAGTGGGGAGGTGTCTGCCTCTCCCGTGACCGACAACTTCAGGAGGGTGGCAGATGGCTGTGAGATGGCACTGCCTGGCCTGGGGGCCCAGAGCCCAGTGCATTCCAATAAAAGCCTCAAGTCCAGCAGTCTCCCCAGGGCCTTTCAGAAGGCCAGCAGGCACGAGGAGCCCGACAGCCTCTTCTACCACTGCACAGCTGACTCCAGCGGCTTCGGTGCCCAGCCCTCCAAGGCAACCCTGGAGAGGAAGGTGGCTTCACCCAAGCACTGTGTCCTGGCCCGGCCCAAAGGGACTCCACCCCTGCCCCCCATCCGTAAGTCCAGCTTGGACCAGAAGAACCGGGCCAGCCCGCAACACAGTGCTGGCACCAGCAGCCCCTTGAGCCAGCCAGCCACTTTCTTGGCCAGCTTCCCTGATGAAGCAGGCAGCAAGACGAAGGATGTTAGCAGCAGCAGCAGCAGCAAGCTCTTCAGTGCCAAGCTGGAGCAGCTGGCCAGCAGGACCAACTCGCTTGGCAGGTCAACAGTCAGCCACTATGAATGCCTGTCGCTGGAGAGGGCCGAGAGCCTGTCCTCCATGAGTGCACGGATGCACGCAGGCAAGGACAGCACCATGCCCCGCACAGGACGGAGTCTGGGCCGCAGTGCAGGGGTCTCGCCACCCAGCTGCAGTGCCACCCAATCCGCGGGGGCCTCACCCAAGGCCAGCCAGTCCAAGATCTCAGCAGTGAGCAAGCTGCTCCTGGCCAGCCCCAAGGCACGCAGCCTGTCCACCTCCACCACCAAGACCCTCAGCTTCTCCACCAAGTCTCTGCCCCAGTCTGTGGGCCAGAGCTCCAACCTGCCACCCAGTGGGAAGCACATGTCCTGGTCCACCCAGTCCCTCAGCAGAAACCGCAGCTCAGGCCTGGCATCCAAGCTGCCACTGCGTGCAGTGAACGGGCGCATTTCAGAGCTGCTGCAGGGCACCACGGGTGTGCAGGGTTCACAGGCTGAGGAGCGTGGGGAGGACCGGCCAGCTGCCACCACGCACCTGCTGCCCTCACCCTACAGCAAGATCACCCCGCCGAGGCGGCCACACCGCTGCAGCAGTGGCCACGGCAGCGACAACAGCAGCGTACTGAGCGGGGAGCTGCCGCCAGCCATGGGCAAGACAGCCCTGTTCTACCACAGCGGTGGCAGCAGCGGTTACGAGAGCATGATGCGGGACAGTGAGGCCACAGGCAGCGCGTCCTCGGCGCAGGACTCCATGAGCGAGAACAGCAGCTCAGTGGGCGGGAGGTGCCGGAGCCTCAAAACCCCAAAGAAAAGATCCAATTCAGGTAGGTGTGGGAGCCGCCGGGAGATGACACCTGTCCTGGGCACAGGTGAGGGAGTGGCCAGTCCTGGGGGCATGAGGCCTGGGCCGGCTTTCTCAGCAGCCTCCCACACTGCAGTGGCTGGGCACATGACTGCCAAGTCCAAAGGCTGGGGACTGGCATGGCCAGGAGCCTGCTCCACACCTGCTGGCTGTAAGGATGAAGGGAGCCAGGCACCTCCTTGTTGGTCCTGTTCCCCCAGTGCCCAGGCAGTGACTTTATCTGCACAAGGACCAAGGCTACTGGTATTAGCACCTCCTGTGGGATCAGGCCAGGGTATCTAGCCACATGGCCTAGTGGCAGCAGAAGCTCAGATGAGGGGCTGGTGGCCTCCGGAGCAAGGATGACTTCTCTCAAGGACATAGGATGGAGCACACATTGTCCCACTGAAAGTACAATGGAGGAAGCTGCCCTGTCCCTCCCTCACCACACGCTCCCTGGCAGACAGTCCTCTCTGTGCACCTGCTAGAGGCCCTGCAGACCCCACCAACCCCACACAGGAGGCCATGGCGTAAACTCACCATGGTGGCTGGCCTGCTTCCGGAGGGGCACTGTCATCTCCAGAAATGTGCTGTCAAAATACACGTGCTCCTGGAGAACTTGGGTAGAAAGCCCCTCGCTTGTTCCGTAGCATTTGAGGTGACTCCTGGCAGTAAATTATGACGGGTAAGGAGAAGAGCACAGAGGACCCATGGGGTAGGTGTGAGGATGGGACAGAAAGCAGGAGGAGGCTGGAGATGGGGGCAAAAGGTACCAAAGCAGCGTAAGCTGCTTGCTTGAGACTTTGGTCTGGAATTGTTTCTAAAATAGCTTCTAAACAAATTGTCCCCATCATGTCTCGGTCTTTTGGCTAACATCAAGTATAAACAAATTATCCCTGCTCCTTCTTTAGCCCAAGCAATCTTTTTTTTTTTCTTTCTTTCTTTTTAATGAATCAAAAATTTTAGCCCAGCCGCTTATGCCCTTCTCGGCCTGGGTTGGAGGCAGGGTGACAAGGTCCTGTCCTCCTCCACCCTCCAGTCGTGCGCAGGGCTCTCCCAGAAGCCCCCACCCTGAGAATATCAGGGCAACAGCAGACTTGGGATTAAAAGATGGGGTGACATTCAGCAGCGGGGCCTCCCCGCCCTGCCGTCCCAGCAGCCCCCTGTCCAGGGAGGCTTTCCTGTTAACCACAAAACTGCTTTCCTCTATGTCCTACCATCCCAGCACATGCGCTCTTTAGTGTTCTGGCCCAGGTACCAGGGCCATGATCAATGCACATCACAAACCATTCGTCTTCCTCAAATCAAAGAAATCGACCTGCAGGGACTCTCAGCCTGCAGTTTACATCCCAGATGTCACACCGTAGACAGCGCCCTCCACCCACCCCATCCCAGGACCCACACATGGCCATAAGGATGTCACATTCGAGGCATGTTGGGGACCCATCGTGGCTGTCAGCACCTTGACATCTTTCTCTCTCAGCGGTGCATTCCAATCTCTGTGCCTGGCTTACCCTGTCTCAGTGGCAGGCTGTGGAGCAGAAGCCCATACAGGACAAGAGTGACATGCTTGTGGGTGTAACCTAACTGCCACTGTGCCCTGTGGTTAGGGCCAAGGGCACTGGAATGTGATGTTAGTTGTTATACATTATTATAAAGTTCATTCAGCCAGAGTCTCTGAGGGCAAAGAAATACCTGTGGCCTTTCAGTATTTGTCTGGTGACCCTGTTGTTACAGCTTACCAGGATGGATGACATTTGTCACACAATCATATATTTTAGTGTTACAAAGCAAGTTGCTGCCTCTAATTTAGCACCTTAAATCTACCAGTCTGTTTTGTCCTTTACTATCTTTTATTCTCTTTAAGACTTTCATGTATTGGGTTGGCTGTTAGAATGAATAAAGAGAAAGAAAAAATGCATAAAGTAATTCCCAGAGAGCGGCAGCAGGCTCTGCCCATGTCCTTGCTCGGGGCTGAGTCCTCTCGTGTCCTCTCTGTGGTCCTCTGAGTGCTCTTAGGAGGCAGGACTATGAGAGGAAGATGGTGTGAAATAAGAATGCCAGGGTGGGAGCTGGAGAGGGCTCGGGAGGAAGCTCCGAGAGCATCCGACCTATGAGCTCCCCACCGCAGATCCAAGGCTCTGTGATGGAGACGGTGGTAGAGACAAACTCGTTTCAAGTTAGGTGACCTAGTCTCGCTTATTTATGATTATTATTAAAAGAAATGCTGGCTGTCAGACGTGACCAGCACAAATCAAAAGCAACTTAAGAGAAGCCATAAAACTCCTGATAGGAAATTCCAAACTAGTTGACTAGAGTCACATTGACCAGAGCCGCTTGGATCTGCAGGGAGACAGCAAGGTATCTTTTATCTGACGTGGCTTTTTAATGTGGAAATTGTTAGAGCTTTGATGATTGCCTTAGCAAAAGGAACTGGAATTACATTGTGGGAAAATAACCATGTGCTCTCCGATTCCTTGGTGATACCTATAACAGTGGCCATCAGACCATACTGAACTTCATTTTTCCGGCTCCACACCTGCAGTTCTCTGTTGGCAGGGGATGTGCAGAATTGGCATTATTCCGTTGGTTGTGCCATTGTGCGGTGAAAAGACCAAGCCAGGAAGCATGAGCCTTGGGCTCTCATGTTGTGTACTTCAGGGTATAACTTGCTTCTCTGGGCTTCAGTTTTCTCCTGTACAAGTAAAATGAAGGATATTGTAGTTAAAGGACATTGTCTCTCTGCTGCCCATATCGTATGAGATTTTACAAGTAATACAAAAAAAGTGGATGGTGATGTGACGTTCTTTCCATAAGACAACTCTTTGTTATTAGGCTTTATTTTCTGTTGTTATATTAGTCAGTTTTCCATTGCTATAACAAACTACCTGAGATAAACCAATTAAAAAGAGAAAAGGTTTGTTTTGGCTTGAGTTGCAGAGGTCCCATCCATGGTTGGCTGGTGCTGCTGATACTTCAGAGCCTGTAGTGAGGCAGCCCATCATGACTGGGAGGCCTGGTTAGAGCTAAGCTGTTCAACTCATGGCTGTCAGGTGATAGAAAGAGGCTGATTCCCACTGTCCCATTGAAGAGCAGCCCCAGCGACCCTAGACCTCCCTCTAGGGTGCACCTCTGAAAGGCTTCTCCCAGGGCACCAATCTAGGGACCAGGCCTGTCACACATTGTTCAGGCTTCTTGTGCACTCAGCACTGGTGATGTGGAGGTGCAGGTGCTTTGGGGAGGCCAGCAGCATAAAAGACAGGTGATGGTCAGATGTTCATAATTTAATTGGAGAGAGGGAGAGAACAACCAACTGAAGCACACTGCTGTGAACTGAGTGGGCAGGCAACACTGCATAGGGAACTTTCACACAAAGGCAGGATCCCGCGGGCTGGAGCGACTCCAAAGCTTCGGGATTAGGGCAGGTCTTGAAGGGGGCTCACGTTTGCACAAGCAGAAGAGGCAGAGGGCACTGGAGCTTGCGGTGGTGATGGAGCCCAAGCTTGGGGCACTATGGCTGGATATACAGGAGCAGTGAGATGAATTCACAAAGAGAGGCTCTGTAAACTAGTGTAAAAAGAACGTACAAAGTATAATCTAGGTGAAGTTGTTCCTGACCATCTGGGAACTATTGCTGGAGGATACACTGTTCCATATTATCCTATATTATTATTATTATAAGGATATAATTGTTATTAGCATGTTGTTGTAGTTGTCCATGGGGAGTCATTATAGGTTCTCTACCAAGGGTAATGGGTTAAAGACATCTTACGTTACTTTGATCAGTGGATTTGTATTGATCCTTCCAAATTTCCTAGCATCCCCTCCATGCTCAGTGATTTAAAATTATCTAAAGCCTGCACTATGAATTAGAGGATGACAACTAGCCTGGGCAGGGAGCATCTGTCTGTCCTGGCTGGAAGACATACAAGTTGCCAAGAGCACGTAAACTGTGATGGGTAGTGTGCCGTGGTGGCTCCAGCCAGAGCCCAAATCTGACACTGCTGCATGGTGAGTCACCCATCGCTTACTGCATGAACTCTCTCCCAGACCCTCTTCTTCCTCCGGTCCTAGAATTCTGCCCTAATCCGAGGGTCCTCAGGTTACCCTCTTGCCTTCTTCCTTTTGCTTTCTTTCTCTTGGACTGACAATTGGACCAGCATCTTGGTCTGATTGAAGTTCATTCCCATGGCAGGGAGTCCTGCTGCTGTGGCCCTGCATCTGGAGAGCTCAGGAATGAGGCAGATCTATGCAAAGCTACACCATCCCAGAGAGGCAAGTTGGCTCTGAGATGCACCCAGGCCTTGACCTGCCTGGACATTAGCCTACTTTGTTCAGAGCAGATGCTGGTTACCAGTGGATACCATTGACTGGCTGGTTGGTTGGTTGTAGCAGTCCTAAAAGCTGGCTCATATTTCTTTTCCATGCATTTTCATATCTTGTCCTGCTGGTTGGTGATAATTGCTTGAAATGTTAAGCTCAGTCTCCTGTTTTGTCATTCTAAGCACCAGGACCCTTCCTTCCCTGCTACTGGTATTGCGTAAACCTTTTTGACCAACAGTCCATCTTTCAGTCACAATTTCTGCCTGCAGTCAGTCAAGCTCTGGAGTCCGAGTTTAGTCCACAATGCTAAGCATCTGTGACTAACCGCCCTCACCGGGGCCCAGGAGCACAGTGGTTTGATCTGTGGCTCATTTATTCTCAGGTGCATGCCCCGCCTTGGTTTTTGTGAATCCCAGAAACACTGGCTGTGAGTTTTAATGGAAACTAGAGGAAGGTGAAGTTTGCTGGCAAAGCTGAGCTTTCCAGAGTGTTCTTAAGAAAACCCCTGAGATGAGGAGGGGTTCAGAATGAAAGAAACTTCTTTTTTTATTTAGAGAAAAAAAGCAAAACAGAAAAATGGTAGAAATAATACATAATTTCACAAAAAAGTAACAAATCACTAGTTGATAAATTACATATTGTTATCTTATAAGTAGTTCT